AAATAAAAGTTTTGACTTTTCCAGTATAACCTTTATGATTATGAGGACAGTCAGTGATTTCAAGAGGAGCCATTTTTTATGCCTGTAGAGAAAATTCTGTTCTTAATTACATTTGTTTACCTCAGATGACCATCGCCAGCCATCAATGGAGTCACTGCTGACTCTGCATATCTTTGCTCAAGATTTTGCAGACTGCTGCATGCTGACAAGCTGCCAAATGCAGACGTTTGGTGATGACAGTGTCCCAAAGGCTTAACATTGCTATACTGCAATTGATATGCAACCATCAGCATTTTGTGCTCACAGGCTGTCAGTGGTCTGTTTCAGTAGTGGAGCAAAACATGCTAAATAAAAATTTCCTGCCTGCCTCGGAGGTGTAAAACATGATGATATTATTAAAATTTTGAATTCCAGCTAATAATGGAACATAGCACATGTATAATATAATGAACTTTGTCATAAAACGTATCACAAATCTTTCCTGATTCAATTACAAATCCACACCTACATATTAACTTATACATAATGACCTATATGAATGGGGAAACTGCACTCATGTGAAGTATAAGGTACTACAGCTCAAGCCCTGACTGTGATATTCCTGAACAGGAAGATGATGCATTTGCCTGTAATTTGCAATATTAAAAGAATATTAAACAGTTTTTTATCCTGGTCCTGTTATTTATTACTATTTCTTCTGGCATACAGCTCTACCATTAGAGTGGTTACCATTAGAGTATTACTATTTCTTCTGGCATACAGCTCTACCAGTAGAGTGGTTACCATTAGAGTATTACTATTTCTTCTGGCATACAGCTCTACCAGTAGAGTGGTTACCATTAGAGTATTACTATTTCTTCTGGCATACAGCTCTACCAGTAGAGTTAATACTTTTAGCCAAGCTCCATTTTCTGTGTGGTTTACTGTGCTAATTTTACACCCACAAACCACTTTGTTAAAAACATCTACCCTGCATGAGTACCGTGCCGGTGTACAGTTAGCCACCCACCACCCTGTCCATATTTTTGCTCTAATGCAGCTCCCAGTACACTTGTAGCATGCATTCCATGTTCTTGTTGGCCTTGTTCGGGTGTGTTGGAAGCTATAGAAGCAAAAATGAGGCCCAAGGACTTGGTTGAGTGGCACTGCTCTAGCCCTTCATCAGTGGTCAGTTTCTGATGACCGAACCACTGTTGGCTGGATGGTTTTTAGTAGTGGACCACACTCAACCTAGCACTGAAGTGTAAAAAAACTCCACGATGTTGCTGTTGTGCCTACATTCATATCAGCAACACATACTACTGTGCCACTACTATGTAAGTGTCACTCCTGTGTTGAGAAGATCCCAAATAATATCTAATCAACAGCAGCATGGACAGGGTTGAGGGCAACTCACAGATTGTACATGCATGTATAATTTTAAATGTATGCCAGTGAATGTTATAGTGCCTAAATAACGGAAAACAGAATTTCCCCTAGTGTTTTAAATAAAAGAGTTTGATGCAATACATAAACATTGCATCAAAATGCATCACTTCCCAGTCCATATAGTCTATATATATGGAAACTAAGCTGCAAAACCAGCCCATTTTACATAGATCAGTCTAAAGGTTCTAAGTGGACCTCAAAGGAAAAATAATATACAATTTAAATGTAGGACATGGTCTCTTTATGTACAGCTATTAAAAGTAGTGGTGAGTATATGCTGACCTCAGTTTTGCTGGAAGCAAATTTGCAGAGATATCTAATCTATCTAAATCTGTTTGTGTGATACCACAGAGACATCAGACTGCGATGTCTGCAAACTTCTTTGACTTGAAAAACCTCTACATCTTAAATGGCTTCACATGACCAACAAAACAAAATTACCTTAATATTTTGTTACATTAATAGGGTCAAAAAATCGCAGTCAAAACAGGCAAAGGTTAGTCATGCTAAAAACAATCAAAGGACCAAGGGACATAAACATAAGACAGCCTTCTGCACAGTGGTGGATTTGACACTGCTTTTATAGGAGACAAGGAAGGGAACCAGCCAATCAGGAACAGAGGGTGGGTTCAACCAAATAGGAACTGCAGACAGAATGATTGGAGGATAGGCTACACCTGGAACAGACAGACACACAGGGAGATCTGCCAAATAATCATGACTGGGGGTCATAATAGACACTCACACACGTGCTGACCTGGTTTACAGTTAGAGACCACAGCCCATCTGTTGTCATGCCCAATTTGTACTAACCATCCACATGTCTTAACCAGTTTGCATTAGCCATTAATTCAGAAGCTTCTCTCAGCTGGATATGGTTTGAGTGGTGGACCACAAAGACAAGCACACAAGATATAACTACTCCTATCAGTTTTTTTTTTCCGGCCTCTGGCACTTCTAGACTAGTGTGATATCACTACAGACACAGAGTCACACAGGAAGTGGAAAAAATGTACAAGGTGTCAGGATGTGGCATCTGAGTTCAGGATGTTGTGTCATCATGTATGCGAGCTCACATGAGCCTAGACATGCACACTAGAAATACTCAGCTTACTGCTGAAACCATGCATATTATCTACAAAGCTATTTTCTCAAATACAGCATATCTGTTTTAGTACTATATAGCTCTGATGTAATCTAAAATTAGCAAACTTCTCAAGAAAGAACTGTAATTAGACCAAAGTCAGCTGTTTTACCGGAAGATGACTGCTACCAAAATGCTTCTATTTTGTGCAGTGACATTGCCTTAGTTTCATCATGATCAGCAGATGTACATACTAGCAGTAGCAGCCTTTTGGTATCCATATATGTTTTATGAAATAATTAACATTCTTCTATGGTCTACAGGGCCCGGGTGAACCAGCAGTTTTTACAGACTCTAAAAGGGTTAATGTTTCATTATGTGATCCAGCAGCATGCTATCATAGATCAAGTCAAGGCCAAGATCAAGAAAAACTTACACTGTATACAATGGGACCAAACACCATTCCTCCAGGAACTCGATGCAACATAAAAACAGCTTATATTTACTGGACCACAGAGCATAAGTGACCGAGACGTACACTCTACATAATGCAACACTGTTCAGTACCGAATTACAAAACAGTAAGTACATGATAATGTAAAACTAGGCTCAAATAAATACAATAAAACACCAAAACACAATACAGGGGTGCCCAAACTTGTGCAAACGACTGTAGTTCTTTACTACTCATTCTATAAATGATTGGTGTTGTTCATAATCCACTTGTTTCTTGATCTAACTATAGATGCTACACTACAAGTATGGGCCTTTCTATTATAATAAATCCACTGAGTGTTGCTGTTAACCTACTCAGATCAGGTCTGATCAGAACTCACATTTTGGCATTGATACTGTAATTTCTTATATCTGTTGATAGCTGATTAGAATGCAAACCCTCACTGATTACGTTCTCATGTACACAAAAATGTGTCCACTGCTAAGAATAAGGCCATATTAACATTATACTGCTGTAAGTACTAACTACTAAGTAGAACAAGGGTCATGATGAAAAGAAAAACCATGATAAAGCTAGCTACAAAAAGATTGCCAGATGTTGGCCTGTTTGTGCACTGATGGGGAAAGATAGCCTAATACCTTGTGTAAGTAGTTTTGCTCTTTGACTTCCGCCTGACTAGAGGCCACCATAGACCAGATAAAGAAAATTACCTCAGTGTCAGTTATAAGAACCTAGTGTTAGTAAAGATACTCACTTTTATGAAGAAGCAATAAAAAATAGACCATCAAAACTGTCACCATCAGATAAACAGTAGGAAAACTTTGAAGCTTTCATATTTGAGAGAGAAGAGAAAATCAAGCTCCACTCTTTCTTCAGATCTGAAAAAATCCACAGGTGTTTCTGTCCATCCTTCCACTGTGAGAGACAATTCAACACTATGGGTCTGAAAGGATGTGTAGCTGGTCAAGAAGCTGTTACTAAGAAAAAAAAAAAACATTTGCAAAACAAAGAAAGAACTGCTGCAGTGCTCAGAACAATGGACTGACCAGCCCAGCCCAGAGACCAGACCTCAACATCACTGAATGTCTTTGGGACCACCTCCTTGGACAGTGAGATACAAAAATGCATCCAAAGGGGGCTTTCACACCTTGACTTGTTGGTACTTTTCAGTTTGGTCCGAACCAAAATAGCTGCTGTGAAATTTGGACCGACCAAAAAAGGTGGTTTAGGATCGAACTGAACCATGGTTCGGTGGGTTTGCAGTGTGAAAACACATTTTTTGTATGGTTCGGACCTTCGGACCAGTTACAGTAAGTTGAGACAGCCTATCATCAGCCATGAAACAACAGAAGAACAAAAAGAGCCGGGAGAACAGTAAAATGAGCTGCGGTACTACACGGGAGAGGACGAGACGAAATTAAAGTGTAATTTGGTCTGACATCAGACCAAATATCCGTATGCTCTCAGAAAATAAGGTATAAGTTTCGGCATAAAAAAACGGATGAGGATTTCCATGTTTCTTCATTCAAGCGGAAAAAGGCTGCCCGCCGAATTGACAACACGGTGACGTCAGACGCACGCTCCTCTACAACCAATCAGTGTCAAGTAAAGGGAGACGCAGCCCACGTAGGTGATGACGGCAGGATCTTTAGTGCGCTAAATTCCAATGTGAAACCAAAACTAATCGGATCAAATTTATACAATGCAACTAAAACATGAACTTGGTTTGGACTTTCAGGTGTGGAAACGCCTTAAAACTGAACTTTGGAGGTGTGGAATTCACGCTCTGTAGGGTAACAGTGCCCCTGATTTCAGAAACGTTGGATAAGCAGGTGTCTACAAACTTTTGGCCATATAATGTGCTTCTTCCTGTATACTTGTTGGCACAGTTTCTCTGCAGCACTTTCCTCTGTTTAATCCTAATGATTGGAAGCCGAGTAAGGCCTGGCTCTGTGTCCGCCTGCTGGACCTCTGGGGTAACTGCAGGCTGCTTTAGCTATGTTGTAATGTATGAGGTGGAGCGCTTCGTGTGACGCAGCAGCCCTTTTCTTGTAAAAGCCAGCCTTCCCTTTTCCTCGTGCCATCGAAGGAAATGGACTTCCTTGGCTGTTTGTTTTCTTTTATTTTTTAAATTAAATTCTACCGTCTCTGCATTAAACCTATGGCTCTAGCAGTCCTCCTTCATCTGGATGTCTGTGACCGCAGGTAAAGGCGCTTTTTCAGTCATGTAAGGTAACTTTAACCCCACCGACGGAAACTAGATCAGTATCGAGGGCTGTGGGCGATGAGGCGACATCGAAAGTAAAGAAAAAAAAATGGAAAACTATTTGACATTTTACATTATTGTTGGTGGTTTGGTTGTAACGTCAGGGTAATAGCGTAGACATTAGAAAATTCTGACTTGTGTGCTTGTAAATGTTGGTTAAGTACGTTTGTACAGTCTATACAGTTAATGCCACTTGGCCAAAAAAAAAAAGTTGCGCAAGCTTTATGGAAAAAAGGAAGCAGCTTCAAGATAAATCAGAATCGATAGAAAATGTCATTCCCATATGTAAATCACTAATGTAGTTGCTTTGATTTAAATCAGAAAAGGTCTAAAATGTCAGTTTAATGTTTGAATTTGCCTTGACTGGGACACTTTTTAGCAAACATCCAAGTCTTTCCAAATCCCATCAAAACCACTCACCCGCGCTAATAGTCATTTAAATTGTGGTTTTCCACATTTCTACATTGAAATATGCTGTAAATTCTGTCTGCTAAGTGAGTCATCTGTTTACAGAGCATCAGAGCCCCCTCCCACCGTCTTTAATGGGTGGTTTTCTGAGTGGGACAGTTTAAGAGATAAAGTGGGCGCTGCCGTCACATTATCAACAGCTCATTACCAAAATCAAAACAAAAATTTCAATCACTGCCTATAGCTCATGTTAAAACCAAAAAACAGGCAATGACATGATAAAGCCACAGCCCAAACACTGTAGGGCAGTTCTTTTACTCTAGCCTGTATGTCTAAAGGTTTGTAGATTGTACTGCTTTTCCAACATTTCTTCTGAAGTCAGAGTATTAATTGGGAGTTTGTCCCACTTTGCTGCAGTCTTCTGTGAAGACTTTACACTAGATGTTGGAGCATTGCTGTGAGGATTTGATTGTATTCAGCCACAAGAGCATTAGTGAGGTCAGGTACTGATGTTGGATAATTACTTCTGGATCACAAACTCCGCTCCAACTGGATGGTACTGGTACTGATACTGGATGGAGCTCCATCACTCCAGAGAATGCAGTTCCACTGCTGCACAGCCCAGTGTTGGGAGACTTTATATCCCTTTATCAACACTTGGTGTTGGTGATTTTAGGCTCATGTGCAGCTGCTCCAGAGTGTTCCATTCTGTTTGTTAGTGTGTTTCTGTGGAGATCAATTGGTGCACCCTAAAGTAGCTGGATTCACTGATTAGAAGGGCTGACTGAATACTTCGGGACATATAATAGTTCTTCTGGACATGTAATGATGCTTTCAGTTTTAAGAATGCAGCCAGCTCGACAGTGATGTCAGTTCTTACTCACATTCAGCACGCAAACATTTGTTTTCATTGGCTGACAAAAGCAACATAACACAGTACCACTCAGCTGAAGAGTCTCAGCACTCTTACTAATGCGATGTTTAGCAGAAAAGGTTCATTTCTCACCACGTTCTTGTCCTTGTCCTTGTGTCTGCTCAGTGTTGCTCTGCATTCTCTGATGGATTGAGAACTAAATCCTCGTGCTAGGATGGACACTGGGCATAACAGAAGCAAGTGGAGGAGGACATGCGTGCCATACCTTTTATTTCTCTTGGTAAGAAGTGACTTAAAGGAACAGTGTGTAATATATTTATCGTACTAAATCATAAAATGACTATGATGTGTCTTTCATGCTAAGTTGAAATACTGGCTTCTCCAACAACAATGCTACAGCCAGTATGTTCTCCTTTGAAATTTCTGTTCTGGAGTAGAAAGTCTTTTGTGTTTTGCCCTGTGATCCCACCCACTGCCCATTTCCCTGGACCATTCTGACAACCCAGGTTGCCAGATATGAAACAAATTGGCAGGCAAACAGCATGCTGCAGCCATAGAAGCAAGCAAACAAGCTGGATCAACAGAGATAATGTTAGATTCAACATGCTCTAAAAAGCTTCGGCATCCTTCTAAAAAGCTCCATGACAAGAGATGTAGTGAACCATGAGTAAATATTAGCAATACATTTGAAAGATGGAGACAACTTAGAGCCCAGAAGGACTTGGTCTAGTCAGAAGGACTAGTTGGCTAATTTTCTCCTGAACAGGTTTAGCTTCAGCTAACTCCAGACTGTGTATTTTCAGAGCAGTTGGCGTTTGTTTTTGGGATAACGGGGTTAGCTTTGGTTACCGTGCATAGCCAACCATGTATCTAACTAACACTGACAGAGTTATTAAAAAATCTATGTGCTGGTTTTAATTTGCAAACAATAAAAACATTGCAAACGTACACATTAGCTGATCAACTTACAGTGTAGAACTCGTCATCACTTGCCATTGTCAAAGTTTAATGCTGTACTCATCTTGCACTCGTTCATGTAGGTTAAGTGTCCTTAACCTGGCAACCTGCGTGAGTTTTGAGTCTGGGGAGGAGCATTACCCATTTTAAATGCTTGCTGTCTGTATTACATATGGTTCCTTTAATGTTGATGCTATTGATGCCAGCCTATTTTTTCTTTTAATTTTCAGATTATGATCAAAGTCATTCACGCAACAACAGTATACATAATTCTGTATAAAGTTGAATGTTCTGTGTTTAATATTTAATGCCCCTTCCTCTTTAAAGACACTTTTAAGGCAAACAGATGCATCAACGGAATATAAAAACGGCACTGGAAGCAACAGCATCCAAACAGAAACTTGTGCCGAGAACGAGTACTCGTACAATGGAATCTGCTGTGACAAGTGTCCACCAGGTACAGAAACCAAAAGTCTGAGCATTTCATAAAAGCAGTATGAAAAACAGTTCAGGCCTGTGATCGGTGAGGAGAGTATTCATCCAACAAACATCAGTGCCAGTTCCAGATAGATCCAGTCAGCATGGAGAAGACAGAGAAAAAAAAGACTGTTTAGTTTTTTTGCTGTTTGAACTGCATTTATTTGAACTGTATTTCCTGATATTTGTTGATAACTGATTGGCATGGGGGTTATTTTATTAGGTTTGTTAGATTTGACTAGGTGTACCTCTAAGATGTACAGAACATCACCATGATTTTTGTAATAAACAGAAACTGTAGAGATTTAGACCTCACTCTCAGGCTCCATCTGTCTTTTGATCTGCAGGATTTAAACTGAAGAATGTGTGCGCAGGAAAGGGTCTGAGGTCCAGCTGTGAGAAATGCGGTCCTGAATTTTACCTTGACAGTACAAACTACTTCCGAAATTGCTTTTCGTGCTCCAAGTGCAAGAAAAGTAATGTAATACCTTTCATATGTACTTTCATATGTACTGTGTTTTCAAAGCAACTAATTCTAACCCCCTTTCTTTTTCCTCCATTTTTCATTTGTTTTCATCCCTCGCTCACAGACGAAGTTGAGGAATCACCATGTACACACAAAAAAAACAGAGTGTGTGCATGCAAGCCTGGATACTACAGAAGTAGTGTGAATCTTAATACATGGTCATGTTCACGCTGCAAAAAGTGTGGAGCTGGAGAAAGAGTGAGCCAAGCATGTAAGTCTCTCTTTTCTAGTCTCTCACTTTCTTACTGTCTCTCCCTCTTTCTCTTTTTCTGGAAAGAGATGCCTCACTGACTTACCAGCAGAAGCTTAACACAAGCTGACTAAATGGTTTCCTAATACACACACACATACACATACGAACACACAGACGAACACACAGTCATATATGGATTATTCTACCAAATTGGTTAGAGTCAGACTTCAAAACACATTTCAGCTTTTAGCTGACTTGGACTTTAGACTAAAATCATTTTGTTTTGAATGACCTTATACCCCTTAATTATGTTGATTTTATTTAAATAATTGATTGAGCATTCCATTTTGTCGCTACCTAAACAAACACTATCAAAACTTTACCAAATGTTTTGGTAGTGACTTTTTCTATAGTAACACGTTTTCACTAGAACATAAAGTTTACTAAATTGCAGAAAATATGTATTTGATAATGACAGTTTTCCATGATATAAACTTATGATGAATCTAAGTCTTTCAACTCCCTTTAAAAGAAATCAAATGGTTATTTTAAAAATATTATAAAAAGAAAAACAACAAAAAATGTAAGTATTATTTTCATAAGTTTGAGGCAGCCACCTACTAATACAAAGTACTCTATAAATGATGGTTTTGTACATATTTAGCTTATTATTATCTCAATATATGCATTGGGTTTAATAAGATCATAACAATCATTGTACATATTTAAAGTGTAAATTCTTAATTCTTTTCTTTTTTTTCACTGTGATTTAAAATAATTCAGCAGAATGGTTCGTATATTGAGTTTTTTTTTGTTCATATCACTTTTTGGCCACAGTTTTATTATGATCAATGATGGTGATGTTCCATTATTTTTTCAGGTTCCAGGAATAACAACACAGTGTGTGAATGCAAAGATTTCCATTACCGCTTAAACAAGACTACCTGTGTTTTTTGTAAAGGGTGAGTATTGTAGCTGACTGATCAGAGACTTTTATTTTGATTGAGTGATAATGTAGTAAATGGATCAAACTAAAGCTCACTATTATATTACCAATCAAGTAATCTACTGATATTGATTACTGATTAGTGTTATTGAATAAATGAGATATAAGCACTGAAATAAGAGTCCAAAGTATTTTATTGGACAATGAAGCCTTTTAAAAGACTCTATTAAAACACTGTGTTGAATATATATTCATATAATTCAGTCTGACAGGCTCTGTTTTTTCACTGTAAGAGGAACCAATAGGAGAATTATGCATTCACATCTTGCAAACTGTCAACTAATGGCAGTTAATCAAGAACACGCCTTTAATCACATTTTTTCTTGGTTAATCCCAGTGATAGAGAGTTTAATTGAGTTATTGTGACAGTCATAGATCAAGTACAATTATGGGGACCTATGACAGTCTTCATGACCATCTGAACATAACCGCAAGGTGTTCTGTTTTGATGTCCAGGAACCGAGCTAGTCTCCATTGTGATAAGTATTCATACAAGCAGTGAAACAGTGAGAGCCTGAGCATGAGCATAAACATTTCTAGCATGTAAATACATTTAAAGTTGTTCACCAAAGAAAAAATGATGTTTGCACATATCTTTCCTTTTTGACTGTGGTTTTGTAAAGAGGTTAGAGTGTAGAAAGGATAAAATCCTAATGGAGTGTAATGTGTAACGAGCAGTGGTGCTGAAAAGTATCTGGTTTTCTTTTCCAGTTGCAGTGAGAAGTGTCGAGACCTGTGCACCAGCCCCACTCCGTCTGTTAGTCCTGAACCAGGTCTGATGCTCAACACTGAACTCCCTCTCTCTCTCTCCTTTATCAAGTACTGTGCAAGTGTTTGTATGTGTAATAGATAGACAGGGAAGAATTATAATCTTTTTTTAACATTTACAAAGTTAATTACATGAAATCAAGCTGTATACCTGAGAAATGTGTTAAATCCTTGTCTTGAGTTCTTGAGGGCAGACAGACAAAGATGAACAATCAGTGGAACTTTCCTGCACAAAAGCACTTAATGGCTTGATTGTGTAGTCATTATTTGAGTTTAATCTCTCCTGAATTTACTAAGTTGTGCCTTCCTTTTGAGGCTTACAACATAGTTAACACTTTTTGTGATAATATGACAAGTGTTGAATTATTTTCATTTTCAGATCCTGAACTACCAGTAGTCATCATTCCAATTTTGGCCTCAACAGTTTTTATGATTCTTTTTATTGCGTATTTGAGAATCAGACAGTGGAGGAAGAAGAAGCGAAATCAGTCAGAATCACCTGATCCTGAGAAAGACACCACAGAACAGGTAGTGTGACGACATGGTGGCAAAAACTACTCCAATTTATATTGAAATGTATGTTGAAAAGGACTGTCACTAGTTGTTGTGTTAGTAATCAAGTAATCTGCTGGATATTTTAATAATTAATTTTTTAAAAAGTTTTTTAAAAAAGGCCATGTAACACAAATCTCAAAAACATTTTTCTTTTGTTTTGTTTTTGGCATGACCATTGTCTAACCTCTTTTTAATCCTGCATGCTACTTTAAGTTCTTTTATTTCTGAAAAAGAGGGAAATTCAATTTTCCTTGATATGAACAATAACAAGCCACATGTAGCCCTTCAGATACTCCTAAATACTTTACAGGATGAAGATGAACGAGGAAGCCTTTAAAAAGACAGTGTTACTTTATTTGGATAGCCCCCAGTTTATCGTATAGATATTCAGTTTTCGCTGGCAGTTTTAAATTTAACAAACTATCTGTTGAAAGTCAGTTGATTATTAGTGTCAGGGTTAGGATTAGTACCAGGGTTAAGTTTAGGAGCTGGGTGAGGATTAGGTTTAAGTTTAAGAGTGAGATTAGGGTTATATATATATATATATATATATATATATATATATATATATATATATATATATATATATATATTTATGTACATCAAGAAGCCACTTTTTTTGTATCCAGCAACTGAGTTTAATTAAGTAGCTGTGACAGTCATAAGGTTAATACATATATATACTGCTATTGATGTAAACAGTCTTTTTAAATATATATTCTGCCCAAAGACTCAAGTGCCTACAAAAATCAAAGATGAGGAAAGTGTCCCACTGGCTAATCACTCTGTGGAACATGAGCAGGACCAAGCATTACCAGACTGTGTCCCCAGAGAGATCAGAAGTATGTATCTGTGTGTTGTCTGTTCATACTGAAATTAACTGAAGTAAGCATTACTGTTCTAGTGTTCTTGTCTGTCTGATACTTGCCTCATGTCTCTCTCTCTCTCTCTCTCTCTCTCTCTCTCTCTCTCTCTCTCTCTCTCTCTCTCTCTCTCTCTCTCTCTCTCTCTCTCTCTCTCTCTCTCTCTCTCTCTCTCTCTCTCTCTCTCTCTCTCTCTCTAGCTCATGAATTTATGTACTTTGTGCTGGAAGTAGTCCCTGTCAAACGTTTTAAGGAACTGGTGCGTCGTCTGAACGTGTCTGAGCAGGACATCGACAGGGCAGAGCGAGATAACCATGCTTTTGCCGATGCTCAGTACCAGATGCTAAAGATTTGGAGTGATAATGCTTCCGGAGGAGGGAAAAACATTCTGCCACGGCCACTCCTGCAGGAGTTTGTAGACAGACTAAAGGACATGAATTTGAATGGTTGTGCAGAGAGCATCGAGAACAAGTACTCCACTGAGGCCTAAACACTCACTCACATCACACACGAGCTATATGCTTACATGCAACTCATCCAATCAGATGTGCTTGCTGTGGTTCACACGAAGATGGGAAAAAACAGGGCATTAGTAGAGACATTCACCATAATTTCCAACTATGACGACTTATACATGATTTATGCAAACTATTAAACAATGCACAAGACAGTGTGGCAGAGCTGCATTGACTCTATTAGCTTTTATAAAATGCATTATATTTGTGTTGAGTTTCTAAGGTGGCATGAGAGCATTGTAGTTTGTAACTTTAACTTACAGAAAAGCCTTTGTTGCACCAAGTGCCTTTATTTGGATCATTATCCATTGACCACCAGCTTTGTTATACACATATTTCAAAGAGGTGGAGTTTTGTAAAGGGCTCCAGTGTTTTCCTGTGGGTTATTTAAAAAGAATGGTCTGAATGACTGGTCAGGACTGTACTGTATAAAGGAACCACACTAACTTTGAGGCCACCTTGGATTTTGTTTTTCTTATGAACAGGGAATTTTTTGTGCTATGTTGTTCCTTATATTTTATAACCATTTTGTATGTACTTCTGCAACTTGGTGAGTTTAGTTGACAACCCACATGTACCTGCCAAAATAATGGAAACACTTAACAAATGAGTGATACAAATTATATAAACACAGATGTTTTAAAATAGGCATGGTGATAGAGTTACGTCCTGTACCACCATGTGTATCGTTTTTTAATCCTCTTTTCAAAAACATTTCTGTTCTGTTGGTCAAAAAATTCAGGTAACTGGATGATGCCTCTTTTGGATGCCTGTTTTTATATAATTTGCGTTGAAGCAGAGAGATTGTGCGTTTAGGCCTACTGTACTTTTACCATGGTTAAAGAGTGTTGTTAGGAACAATGTGAAGCTATAAACAGTGACTAAATAGAATATATTAAAGTACACTAATGTGCAATAAATAATTTATTAGTAAAATTGATTGCAATGAGATATTCTTCCATCAAGCAATTTAGTTCATTAACAGTAGGCTGTGGCTGCCAAGTAACATATCAGTCAAAAATAGCACAATGTTTTTTTTACTACTTGGCTAAATAAACCAGAGTTCAGTTGATGGGTGCAGTCATATGTGTATATGTAGTATTTTAGAGCAGCTTTGAGCATAAAATCTCTATCAAGTCTTAGTAACGGAACAATCCATTTTATTGTTTTCCTCTATTTTGGCAGTTGCTTAGCATTAATGTTTCAATCTGAAAGATTATATTTTTGTATTGACTTTTTAATGTCATCAAATGAATTCCTCCGAACAACTTTAAACTCTCGGATTTTTTTATGTACAGAAAAAAACAGTGTAATACTGATTGTTTAACTAATTTACCAAGAGGACATTTGATGTGTGTATGATTTTTAATCTAACGTGTTTATGATTTTTTTATGTATTTCTGTATCAACAGGTCATGTATCAGATTTCTTACCCTATGTAAAGTTTTGTATAATGTCATAATTTCAAAGGTATGGCTGATTAAGTGTATGGGTTCTGTTTGTATATGTAAATAATACCTTTATAGAAAAACAGCAATAGTTTGACCAAAAATCAAATGTACTTGCTTTGACACATACTCAGAGTGTGGCTACCAAGAAATGTTTAAATTTACCCTGATTATAACAAGAAGTGAAAGCAAATAGAAATCAGTCAGCATAAACTGTGGAGAATGTTTCCTCAAACCTCCTGTCCAAAATGCTTTACTTCGGTACTGATATTGTCGTTCATTTTCTGACAAAAACATATTGCATAAGCCATTCTTTAAGTATAAACTAGTAACATTTGTAAAAATTTCCTCAACTAAAAGCATTACAGCACATGTTGTACTGAACACTAACACCAGACAGTGATTTTGAAACAAGATCCATGTTGATCTTGTTATAAAACAGGCCTGTTGGAGCAAGTGCAGGCTTGGAGCTGTCTGTGAACTCAGATTCCTCATTTATTGGTCACATGTGTGGTAGTCCAAATGGAAATTCTAGATTTTTGATCAAACTATTCACAGTACCCTCCAGAATTATACTCTGTAAATATGAGCCTGTAAAGAGATTTTATTCTTTATCAGCTTTTGATATTGCACTGAAAACATTACTGTCCAGTAAGGCAAAATATCCAAAGATAAATAAAGCTTTATAAAAAATTTTGGCACCCCCTAGAAATTCTTGTGAATAAAATGTGATTGACGTATATTCATGCATATTTCACCTTTTCTAATCACATCTGAGGCTTTACAGACTCTTAAGTGGTCATAGGGCCTCTCGTCAAGTGGCATGCAGGCCAAACACCCTTAGTCACCCATCAACAGAGGAAAGATCAGAGAATAAACAGAGACAAAAGGTTGTTAATTTTCATAAATCAACAAATGACAAAGAAAAATCCTATTAAACACAACCATCCACTATTAAGACAATAATTAAGTTTCATTATATTAGAGCTGTAATGAACCTGCCTGGATGAAGAAGCAAGTATTATGCCCCAGTGCACAGTGAGAAGGAATGATTGAGAAGGAGCACAGTGTGTCCAAAACTGGACACCACCTTCTAACGAACAAACTATTCAGAAGGATTTCCATAATAAAGCTTCTGCTGTTGTCCATCCTGAAATGTAGGCACCTGAAGACTGGAACTTTCAGTGGAACCGGGTGCTATGGTCAGATGAACCAAAAACAGGACTTTAGCACAAAACGAGGCAAGGTCTTTTAGAAAAGCCTAATCCTCACTGTGAAGTATGGTGGTGGATTAGTAATGTTGTTGGGTGTTGTTCATCCAGAGGTCCTGGGAATCTTGTTAGGATACAGGGCATCAGGACTTCACTAAATACCAGGAGATTTTATATCGAAATCTGGCTGCGTCTCCCAGGACTCATGTTTGTGCTTATGGTTAGTTCCTCCAGCAGGTCAATAATGCATTGCATACCTCCAAATGCACACTATCGCTGTGTCCCAAACCACACACTTCTGTACTTCACATACTACACTAATGAGTGCACTTCTAATGGTATATGTGCAATTTTTACACACTATTTAGGTTGCTAGTATGCGATTTGGGACGCAGCGCATCTTACCAAGATGAATCATCTTCACCCAGTGAGCCCGACGAGTTTCCTCTTCAGATCCTCCATCAGGGAGAATGTGCTCCCATGTCAGCTAAGGTCAGCTTTACAAATAGCACAACTGACAACCTTTTTTTTTTTAGTTTAGCTCCAACACTTTGAAGGATTTTGTTCTCCTGTTCTCTTGTTGTTTTCCTAGAGAGCGCAAGAAAGACGTGTAATGACGTCACCAACTAATCGACTATTAAATCAGTTGCCAACTAATTTGGTCGTCGTTTTTAGTCGACTAAGTCGAATAATCGTTGCACCCCTAATGCACACAAAAATGAATTCACTGACTGACTGCAAGATCAAGCTTTTGCAGTGTCCATCTCAATCCTCTGACCTAAACCCCATCGATAACATATTAGCAGAACTGAAAAGGAGAGTCCACAAATGAGGACCAAGGAGTCTGAAGCAGCTGGAGAGATTTTGTCTGGAGGAATGATCTCCCTTTATGTGTTCTCACACCCCACCTCCTTTAACTTAATATGGGAGAAGATTCAGTGCTGTTAAATACAGAGGTCCCAAAAATTGCCTTGAGTAATGATACTTTACCGAAAGATTAGTTTGCTCCTATTTTTGGTGCAGCCTTTTTTCCTTATATTTAGCAAGGGTGGCAATAATTCTGGAGGGCTTGCTGGCATATTTAAGCATTGAGTATGCAGTTTGTTACTAGGATGAAGGGTTTCCTGGACACAGATTAAATTTAGTGACTAAATGACATTTAATGAATGTTTGCTTAAACGCAGTTTAATGAACATTCACTTATTCAGTAAAGTAGTAGACTACCATACAAAAGTCATCACCCTTTGTTTATTTAATTTCCAGTCGAAATGGCCTTTAAGTACAAGTTATTCAAGTAATCCTTATTACAAACTTAAACTCATCAGTCTATAAATTACCATGGGATTTTATATTAAAACCTGGCTGCCTCTCACAGGAGTTATGATGTTTGTGGTTATGATTAGTTCCTCCACCAGGACAATAATGACAATAATAAACTTAATGTCAAATATCCAGTTTGGGTTGTCTAGTTGTGAATGTTCTTCTTTTTTGTCTATTTCCTTTTATCAGTAGGAGCTTCTTGACAGCTACACATCCTTACAGACTCATACTGTTGAGTTGTCTCTCACAGTGGAAGGATGGACAGAAACACCTGTGGATTTTCTCACATCTGACGTAAAAGTGAAGCTGGGTTTTCTCCTCTCTCTCTAAGATGAAAGCTTTAAGCACTGTTTACCTGATGGTGACCATTTTGGTGGTCTACCAGGTTGCTATGAACCACATTTGCACCAACTTAGTCATTTACAACGTCTAGTTCTTTTAAATATCTCTTGTATCTAAAAAAAAGCGAAGGTTGTGCAAAACCCTATGGAATTTGAGATACCGGCCTCCTAACAGTGTTTCAAGTAGCTTGGAGGAGATAGCAAATCTGCAGCAGTTGTCCAGTCTATCGACACACAGAATCTTGCATAGTTCAGATTTGATGTGAGTCGTAGGGCACATCTCTGATACATATGTAACACCTCTCCAACACAAAAACAGCTACTCTCTGTAAGCAGTACTTTATGTACTGGTCACAAGATTAAGCTTTTCGCCTCTTATGAAGCACATGTAGCTGCATAAAGAGGAGGACTTTAGGACATTATTCCTTCCCTATATGCCTAGCTCCTGTTTCCTCTTCAACATTCACAATCTGTGAGACTTATTAGGCATTTGTACAAGAAGTGGCAGGTACATGTTTCTTGACAACCTGCCTCTGATGTTCTTGATGATCCAATTAATATGCGTGTGTGTGTGTGTGTCCAGTGAATATCTGTGTAAATACTTTGACTGGCATGTTGTTGCTCTGCATTCCTCATCAGGTGCATTAATTCTCCTATGATTCTTCTCACACTTCTGCGCGTTTTTTTCTGTCTTGTCTGCCTGCTCTTCTCCCTTTACACCTTCAGACACCTCGATTACTCTTGCACTGCTGTCCTGTGTCAGTTAGTCACCATGTCTGGCTGCTGGAGCTCCAGGAGCATTCCTCTATACAGTACTGTACAAAAGGCATATCAGTACTAGCTTAATCATTTCCATTTCCAACGCTGCTCCAGGATGTCCAATATTTACAGTTACCATCCAATACCTGCTTCAGCTAATCAGTCCTTCATTAAATGATATCAGGTGTGCTGCAGATCGAACTAGAATAGTTTTAAACTATTTTCATGGATGCCTAAGAGTTCTGCACAGTACTATGTGAATATTTTGTCTTTCTTTCACTTTCAAATATCTACTTAGTTTACATTGTTGTCATTGAGGGCACTGTATCATCTAGTTAAACCTAGTAGTGATGCATGTCTTTCTGTTTGTTTGGTCAGTATACTCTGGCCCAGCTTGTGTCTGATAGTCAGCCTTCACCTGATATAGTAAGAATAGTCAGTACTTCATGAGCGTCACAAGATCTTCAGATTGCTTCTTTTGCTGCACATCCATTTCAGATTTCCTGGTGTTTGAGTGAGTGTGCATGTGGAAGTACGATCATGTGGCCATCCCCTTCAGTAATCTCATATCTGTTATAATGATTATGGCTGCACATTTCCTCCACAAAATGGTCGGGTACCTGTCAATCAACACAGCCCAATGAGGCAAAAACTCTCTGAAGTACACGCCTTAACTGTAGAGAGCAAAACTACAGAAAAGAATCCAGTTTCTCTTGCTAGACCAGTTACTATAGGGAGGGCTGGGGACGAGCCTAAGAGGAACATAGACAGAAAGAGGCACAGACAGATTGCCTTAGAGAAACTGTCAGGAAGCCATTCTGGGGAAAACAGAGGGCTGATAGATACTACAGATGGCCACCTGACAAAGATGGATACAGCTAAAAGCAGGTAATGTAGTGTACGCTCAGCAGCTCGAGAGTTCCCAGACGGAGAGGTCTGTCAGTGTAGTGCAGTCACAAAAGATAGTGACTTACAGTAGAGTGTTGAAAACACCGGCTGTTATAATGTTCTGTAACTGAACTGCGTGTGTGTGTCTATATGACAGACAGATACATATAGAGACAGAATTTCCATGTTTTGTCTGGAAAAAAGTAGAAGTACTGACAGTGCAATCTTCAGCGCAGCTGGTGTTTTGACAGGGAGTGATGTCAACCGTGGGAGGGTTGTAATGACTCTTCTGTCTACGCATGTGTGTGAGACTGTGTGGTTGGTGAATCATACATTTGTTCTTTAGTACCAATATGTTCATGTGTAGTTAAACATGAATCATTTCGTATTTATACAGTTTTGTAATGGTGATTTTTTACGGCGAACTAGTTGAGCTACAGGGCTGACCACAAATGTAATACTTTTGAGGCTACAGGCCAGGGGTACTCAAACGTTTTTGTCCTGGGGTGGGATGGGGGGGTTGAAAAGTGCAATGTTTGAATGTTTCAGGTGGGCCAAGAACCAAAAATACAATATTTTATTTCAAATAAAGAAGGTAGGTTTCAAATAGTGTTTTTTAACCTTATTTTATTACTAAATACTTTAAAATAATTCAAATTTTCTTAGTTTTAAGAAAAATACAATTGAATTGTTTTCTATATAGTACTGAGAATATGTTTTTTCCCTCATTAGGTGAAGGTATGGGGTTAGGGTAACTTTCTGGTGGGTCAAATCAGCTTTGGCCAAAGGGCCATAGGCTCTATCATTTGAGAAATTGTGTAACTATGCATGTATAATTAATTCTCTTTTGCTCTGTTACTCTGATGTATGTGAAACATGGGTGTTTATCACCCACGGGCAATGTGTAAGGAGTGTGCTATACTGGCTGGAGTTGTTGGCTTTATCGCTATTGTGTCAAATGTCAGCCTTGCTCACAAGTTCCTCTGAAACTAAGCTGTAGCTAATCTTCCCAAAATGCTGATAGCTTTAATGCCAGTAGGCCAGTGCTGAAATTTATGATAGCTGTGCACTTCCTTTTCCAGATTCAGAGCTATCATCTGTCTCTCTCTCATTGTGACAATGCTGGAAATACCCCAAAACACACACACACATGCACACACACCTTCTGTCTCTCTCTCTCTCTCTCGCTCTCTCTTTATCTCCTTGCTCTTTTTAGCAAATTC